ACACACACACACACACACACACACATATACACATTCGCGACCAGATGTCCCAAGAAGGCATTTTCTTCCTAAACGTATAGCAAAATATTTTGTTGAAATAGATCGTTTCCTTCGATCAAGTTTTAACTTTACTTTCGACTACGTTAATCACTTAAGAGAAAGATTTTGTTTAATCCTTTAACAGGGAAACGACGAGTTAATTCGTCATCACTTGTTAAATGGTGAAGAAAATAAAATAGGTAATCGTGATTATAAACGCGTAGGAGGAATAATAAAACTCATAAATATAAAATTGACGGCAATATTATTTATAATATTATTAATAATATAATATTAGTATCGTATATAATTCATATTATTAATAATTGATTATATAATATATATTATTATATATATTATTATAATTGTATTAATAATTATTAATGTTATTAATATTATTTATAATATTGTCAATAATATTATTTATAAATTATGTATAGATAATATTATTTTTAAAATCGAGGTTCATGTAAAATCTTCCATGATAATGAAATAATCATTTACTCTGTTGTGCATTACTTTATCTTTCTTCTAAATGTTGATTTGATTGAGAATCATTGTTCTTCGGACATCTGGTCAGAGTTTTGTAGAATTTAAGCATCTTCCGAGCGGAGAACGTTTTCCGCGTGCTTTCTTAGTGTTCATAGATTTACAAGAAATAAATTAATTCAGATGAGAAATCTGAGAAAGATAAACAAGCGAGCGAAAACTTGGCTCATCAATATCCTTTCCCTTTTCTTTCAAGATAAGAAATGCTAGTTCTCAGGTAAGATTTTCAGGAGAATACTTTTTTATCGGTTTTTATTATTTGCTAATTAATCTTCAAATAATATTGTTGAGTTATAGATGACTATAGTAATTTGTGTACGAATTTTATTGTTAAAATTTGGGATATTTCATTTTACTTTCTACTTTACATTCTTCATAATAGAGATTAGTATGTAGGTAATAAAATTTAATTAAATTGAAAATTCGAAATTTAATATGAAAATTTTTCATGATTTTCAGTGTCCAAATGAGGCAAAGGCAAAAGTTAATCTTTTATTGCTAAAAAATTTAAAACGAGAGAAAGAAGCATTTTGTATATCCAAATAATGTTCATTCTTTGTTGAATTTAATATTTTAACGAGTACACATTAATATATTAATATATTATTTTCAACTAAGTAGAGTGATTCTATATTGAAAGCTAAATCGAAAATATAAAATAAAATTTTTTCACACAACACTTTGTTTTTGAGAAAATCAACTTCGAATATTTCTGAGTATACTTGAATTAAACTGGAGTGAATAATCGACGGAAGGTTATTCTATGTGCAAAAAATAAGTGTACTAATGCAATTTTTAACGAAACATATTCAAAATCTATTTTCTTAAAAACGAAACCTATACTTTTCATTTACTTTTAACAAAATATGTTCAAAGTCTATTTTCTTGAAAATTCAACAAGACTTCAAACAACAAAATTTTATTCTATATTTTCCATTTATATTAGAGTATCTACACGTCAAGCACAAGATTAACCAGATTAAAATATACTTGACAAATTTTCAAACTTAAAAATGCCTTTTCGAAAACGGAGTCTCAAATGTTACTCTTGAAAAAATGTCGTTCTTTTTTTTTTTCAATTTTTAATTTCACATATAGAATCACGCCCTTCCCATGAAAGATGGAACATCTTGTTTCATTTTCTTTCTGTTTCTAAAAACAATAAATACGGAATAAATACGATTTTAATCGATAAAAGCTCAATGAAGAAGTTCAGAATATTTCAAAAAAGTCACATGATTTGATTGGATGAGTATAGTACTTACGACAAGAAATTAATGAATTTTTAAT